GGTAATTTTTTAACCACTTAAAGAAATTATTGTTGTTGTCATAAAGATTCTAAAATGTATGCATGAACTTTATTAGGGCGAAACGAAACTATTTTGAGCACGGAAACAAATGTTGAGTCTTCAAGTGAAGTAATGTTAAAATTTGAAGAGGAGTTGCTCAGTGAAAATGTTTTCAAACCACTTAACGATATTGAAATATCCGCAGAAGAAGAACTCGAGGTAAACTCCTTACCCTTTCGTTTTTATTTGATTTCTAATTTTTTTAAGTAGCTCGCAGAAGAGCATGAAGCAAAAGATTTCATCAGTCCACTCAAAGATGTGGAATATGATGGACTTGAAAATTTTGCCGGCTACATAATTTCGAAAATGGGGTTGACAAAACTAGGCTTCAGGACGCATGTAGAAAGTGATCAAAATTATACGTATGTTAACTGTTTATCGGAGGGCGGTCTGTACAAGCCTAATTCAAGTTTTTTGCATACATTGGAAATTTTGAATTCAAAATTTGTTGAAATTAATGGTGATTCGCTAACCACAAAGCCAAAATTTTTGCAAAATCTGATGAGAAATTTAAAAGTAAATTTGGACCAAAATATTATAAAAAGATTTTATTTGGGAAGAACATTCTTTAGAATTCGATTTTTAAATCGCAAGATTAAAGAAACGAAAATTGTATATCAAAATAAGAAAATGAAAAAAATAACAACATAATGCACTAATGGTTTTTATTATAAAATAAAAAGAATAATTACAATGTAACAGTTTACATTTTATATATTTTTAATAAAAGAGGGGCAAACCACGTAAGTAAAAAAATATCAAGTACTGATTGTGAGTTTTGATTTGAAATATTCTCACATTGGTAAAAATATGGGAAAGAAAATACTCCGATGTATTGTTTTAATATTATCAAAGTGGCAAGGCCGTTGATAATACTGACAATTTATGAAACTTCAAAAAATTTTATTATCCGTCAAAAGTTGTTTATTGAAACTACCTTCTTTTTTGTATCATGGGCCAAACTATGTAGAAAGCATTCAAAAGTTTTCTGACAGCGCATGCCAGGCAATGACATTTAAATTAATTGATTCAAATTAATGAAGTGTTGTCATTTTTTCCATCTACACATTTTTTTCATGTTTCAATTGTTGTTTTGTACATTTATTATAATTCATTTATTTTACTTAATTGCAGTATATTTTTGGGCGGACAATTTTAGTACTTTTAACCCCGTCCGACAATATTAACCTTTTATTGCACTCATGACAAAATCAAACATTTTCTGTTATCCGTTATTCTAGACCAAGTCATTTACGGTTTCAATGGGAAAAAGAACCCTTAACAACCCCAATGCTGCATCGGTCGAAAGATTATTTTCTTGCGATTTTTTTAAATTTACTAAACTTCGTACACGAGGGTTTTTACGCGTTGCTGATTACGAACTAAAAACAGTTTTTAGAAATTAAATATAGCGGATGGATTTTTCAAAAATTTGCAGATTTTTATGACTACTCCAACACAACAAGATAAAAAATAAATTAACTGTGCAATCCTTTTGACACAATTTGGAAGCTATGTATGTATATTAGACTGACCAAATTGCGATAGAACTTAGAAATTCGTAATTAGCGACCCGAAAAACGCTGTAAAAAAACCAATTTTGAAATTAAAAATTTTACAATGTAAGGGGTTATCCATCTAGAAATTTGTTTTTTAATTTTAAATAAAACACTTAAAACAGAACTGGATGTCGGAATCTATATTATTACCCAAAAAACAATCTCTAAAATTTACCTTTTAAAAATAATTTCATTCAAATGTGTGCCACCATATTTGATCCGCCATTTTCAGTTTTGTAATCAGCCACTCAAACAACATTTGGATAACAAATTTCCTAAAAATCTGAAAATAGTTTAAAAATCCATCCGCCATTTCGAGTTTTTTAAAACTGTTTTCAGATTCATAATCAGCAACGCGAAAAACCCTAGGACACGAAGTTTAATAAAGCTTAAGCTTAGGGATTGTTAAGAGTTGTTTTTCCCCAAAGAAATGACTTGTTCAAGAAAATCGGCAAAATATGGTACTTTTTGTATCTACTAAAATTTTTTTATGGATTTAAATTATGTCGGACGTTGTAATATGTATGTACATAGTAAGATAAAGCAACGTCACTTGCCTTATACTACAAATTCGCGCTCTACTTTGCCTTTCAGCTAAGCTTTCTAATTGGATAGCCATTCGAGTTCTACCAAATAAATTTAATTCGGTTTTGGGTCATTACAATCGGCTTGCTTCGCCATCTAAAAGTATGCCTCAACTTACTGTATGTACGTTTAAAACACCATTCTTGGTGAAAGGCTCTCCC